GACATCGCTACATGCATTTTCAATGCAATATTAGTGAGCAGGTGCAACAACAAACGGTAAGCTTGTTGACTATGCGTCGTCTGCTTCCGCTGAGCTTTACCGAAAAACAACGCGGTCCTTATTCCTAAAATGATAATACCTCTCAAAGCAATCTCTCGATCTGGCCTGCCTTGTTCGTTCAACCATTTTTTAAAGCAGACATTTAAGCAACGAGCAATGAGAACGCATACTCGTGAACCGTCATCCATTTGCGCACTAGCAGTAAACTGTTCAATTTCGGCATTTGTCTGGGAGAAATTATCCAACCGAAGTGTTCAAGCGTCGTTGCAGATCGCTCATAACAGTTTATAACGTACCGCACTAGCTTTTTTTTTTTTGAAAGTGATTAATCACTAGTTTTTTCGATACGCGCGCACCAGCCCATGGGGCAATACTGACGAAAAATTTAAACGCAACATATCGTCCGTTTTTAATCTGTAACAGTAATAACTTTGCTATAATAGCTGCAGTGGTAGTAGTAATGATCATTTATGAAATAGGAATTCATACTATACAGCGGTACCGATTGACGTTGGTTAACACTTATTGTTAGAATAATAATAATAACAATAGTATTTGTTTCGACCCTCCAAATACTTCCTGATTACCATAATGTGTGTTAAACTCACATCACTCCATAGAAGTACGATCACGAAGGTTCTACAACCTTGTTCTAATCAGATCCTGATCAGAATCTAAGTCTATATTATTATTATTATCACTGGTATTTCCTATATATCCGAACTATATATAGGACTATAGGCGATAGTTCAGGAGAAAGCTATGAAGCGTTGCTTTCATTGCATTAAATAATAGTAAAATTATGAACCGAAATAGGCTTTCATAAATCATTTTTTTTATTAACAATTCAATTCGATGTTTCCAATGATAATACGGTCTTATTTCAAAACGTAGTGTCCACAAAAGCGTATGGCTTCGGCTAAGGCGTCACAATTACTTATTTAGTGGAATTAAATAATCACTAAAACGTATTTTTACTGTTACAAAAATAGTAAGACATAATTGGAATTATAACCATGAAAAAATGATGATTACTTAGTCAAATCGCTAACGAGGTATTTTTATTCAGGTAAATGAATACCTACATATAGCCATTTTCCACTTTTGTCCTAGCTGTTTAATTCTGCACACATTTGCTTTCACTGTAACCTTTAAACACGAGTAACCTAACGTTAATTTCATTGGAAAGAAATAATTATATATTTTATAGAAAAGATTTGTTCGGCTTTTGTTGCCTCGCATTAATCAGCTGGTCCTTGGTATTGCATCTTATTGTGTGTTGCTTGCTTGGTTCGTAACAAGCAAATCCGTACGGAACATGTACAATAAAGTCTAGTAGAAGCAGCTTTGAAGCAAATTTAAGTTTCGCTTTAAAATTCATAAAATATATCGTTTTTCATGAAAAAAAAAGGTTCCTGACTTTCCTCTAACTTAGAATGCGATACATGTCTGTATATTTTCGTGCCTTCGTAGATATCAAATTTAGCCAGTCAGCAGCTCATTCTAAACATTCCAGCTTATTCAGCCTGATTTTTCTTTGTAAATAGTTGGTGTCTTTAGTGATACCTGAGTAGTAAAATAAGGCAGATAACAAATTTTACAGATTTTTTTAAAAAATGTTTTCACAGACACAAATCCTGTTTTGTTACAAATTATCTCAGCAATGCGTTATATTCAAGAAATCTTCTAAATTTACGAGGGCTGTCGACTAATACTAAAATCAGCATTAGATTCCATGCAGATGTCTACGAGAAGATTCAATTTTTGTCTCCATTGGAAGGGGCCAAACGAGCCATGCGTTTGTTCTTAAGACACATTGTGTGATTTTTTTCAATGTTCGCCGAGCCATCCTGAATTTTCGAAGTGTACTAATCCATAAACCGACAAACAATCATTATTTATGGATAATTAGTACCACCGACTATAAGTTGTTGGTACCAATAATTTATTATCGTAGACTTGTATATAAGATTTGTATCATGAATAGCTAGCTATTTTCAATAGATACTGTGGAAGACTAGGCTATACGTCGGAGACTGATAATATATTGGCTGTTAACTAGAATTTTATATCTAACCGCGTTTTAATTCGCAGCTGTTTATTGCTTACATTATTGATGATGATAATGATCCAGATGCAATTTTTTACCTTTTTAATACTGGTGCACAGCCTTTAAATAGATACATAAGTCTTGGCATTACTTTTACAATCAAGATCTATGGATATGCAGTTAACTGACATATAGCTCGCGCTCTCCTAAATAATCAAGGACCCTTTGTTCAAACGTTAAAAAATTACTATGACTTTATATTTCCAACACTCGCTACACTGTCTTAATACTACCAGCACTATCGATAAAAAGCAATTTTCCAAATATGTATGGCTAAGTTAGAAGTAGACATGCCCCTTGGCATTATAACAGGACCGAAAGTGAGGAAGCTTACCACGTAAATATGTTTTTTTATGATTAATAAAATTAAAATCTGGTAGTTTAAAGATATAGATAGTTTAGTTATAAATTAATCGATGAATTTAAATGTAGCACATCAATCATTCCGCTTGACATATGACATTTTGGGTGTATCGATATTTTCCTTTACGTGTAGCTCGCGAGCCTTTTTCGTCTCGTTTGGTCTTCCGACGACCCACGTGAGAAGAAAATCGTCACTGTACGAAAAGGTCCGCCCGTGCTACATTGTGCTAACACGCAAGGAGATCTACCCAACCGTAAGCCTCGTTTGTGTATTGTACACATGTAGGGTCAAACAGGCGACACAACCGCATTTAACCCAGGATAACTCTGTAAATATCTGTTATTATTAAAATTATGTTGTTTACGGAAGGTTCGTATGATGAGCTGGACAAGTTGATTGGTTAATTACTTAATCTTGCTCACCTCAGCTAAATGCCAGTTTAGCTGAATCTTCAAGCAAATTAACGAGATTTAATGAATTGACTTTTTATAACACGATATGAAAAGTATGAAGAACCGAAGCAAATTATGGATTCAAAATTTATTTTCTGTAACCTTGCGTTTGATGCACACGTATAGCTTAGTATAGATATGTCAAAAATGCATATTTATTATGTAAATTAATTGTAATATCCCATGGAATACAGAACCAGTTATTCGGTCTGCATTGAAAACTCAAAAAGTTACATCATAGGCAACTTACGATATCTGTCCCGAGATATTCGCTGGCGTCATACTGAACTGTCCGAAAAGAGCACTCATATGATTTAATAAACGGACGCCATAACAGAATTGTAAATAAATTATAAACAGGTACGCTTACGATTGCAAAACACTAAATGTCAGAAATAAAGTATAAAATTTGTAACTGTTTTGCTAAAGGAACTGTTCGTTATCATAGTTTTGCTAAAATGAATTTGCATTCCGCGTTCCAACATGCGTCAATTGCACAAAATCGAAATAGGGCTACAAACCAATACACCCTTGACTACGATGAAAAGGTCAGGGAAACACCGAGTGTGTTGCGCGGTTGATTGTCAAAATAAGCTCACTATTTATTGTGGATTCTATAAGATCTATAAGAAATGGCAACTTTTAAATGAAATAAAGTGGAATCATTGTTTGACCATCAAATACTTCTGTTTTGAAGTGAATGTTTCACACAGGCTCTGATAGATCTAGCGGACTGGATATCATTATGAGAGTTGCCATTTTTACGAACAGACAATTTTACAACGAGATATTGGTTATTGCTAAGCTTGAACGGCCTGCTTGTGATCGGCTAAAAAAAAAACCGAGTAAAATAGTATAAAATTCGAAATGACAAATCATAATAGAACCGCAAAAAATAATTTACCAAAAACCAAAGCTGAGGCAGGACAAAAAATAGGTTCCAATGCATTGATCTATATTTTTAATTCTGTACCACGTATATTCTGTATTTGTGCGTACATGTACTTCAATGCCAGATTAATTTTCGACTAGCTTCTATCCCGAAATAGTTTGCCCATTTTGGGGGTATTTCTTTTCCCGTCATTATGCATTAAGACCATTGCCCTCGGCGGAAACTTGCAGATAAACCTTACATAAAAATACTATCTTTAACAATGCGTGTCGACAATGGCGCCTTGAGACTAATGGTTTTTGTGATGTTTCGGTAGGCGCACTCGTACTCATAAATCTCGATTTTTTTTTGCCTTGCAAACACCTGCCTCGAAATCACAGTCATTATATTATTATTAATCTGAATGAATTTGTCGCGTTTAATCTTACAAATATATTTTCACGAACGATTTGAAAAACCTCTTGGCAACTATTTATATTTATACAACAAGAAAAAAGAATAGTAGTGACTGCAGTAATGAGCCATGGGATAGTGTTGCCGGGAGCTGAAAGAAAAAACACTATTGAATAATTCTGGCAGGGCACAGAACTATTTATTATATTAGAACACATAAGGTTTATATAGGGGTCAGATCACTATGATAACCCATTGTCAACATCCTATATTATATAGGTGCAATATAGGATTCGATAATGTAGGTGTTATTTAGATCACAAAATAATTCCCGCTTCCTTATACTGGAACTATACATGATTTGAGTCATTGATTCTAAACAACGCGCGTGACGAACCATCTGAAATCATTTTATAAGACCCTTGCTATACCGCAACGTTGCCCCTAGCAAAATAAAATAGCAGATCGATGTGATGTTTACACGTGTGGTGCGTATAGTTATACGTATGTATGAACCGGGGTATTATAATGTACAGCACGACACATTTGTGTGTGGTTGCAAATTATTCATTGTAGGACATTTTCAGGTGCTGAAGGGAGATGCGTGAAAGCTAAAGAACCTCACGATTTTAATTTGTTATATTGCAAACGGTATAGAGCAGCTCTGTAGTGTTACCTTTGCGAGAACTGATTCTTCTATTTGCTCCCCATTTGTCATGTCAGACTTACTTTTCTGTGGTCTCGTAGACGTGATACACCTCTTCGAAGATGACCTCTACCTTTTCCGACATCTTGATGAGTGCGTCTTCACTGTAAAAAGGTCGATGCGCTAATCAGCCATTTAATTCCAGCTGTGACGTTTCGCGACTCTGTTTGTCTCAGTAGAGGTATGCTGAGAGATGATATTATCCTTTGAAGCTGAGCTTTTCTAGTCTGAACGGTAGTCTATCGAGCATCTGTATTCTAAGTGCCACCGTCCACATTTATTGGTCCAACTTATTGATGGAATAGTCACGTAATCCGTAGTTCTAGCTAAACATGCGTGTTTTATCTCTTTTTCTCGATTTGTTTTTGTCGAAGATCAGACGACACTTCTATTTTGTATATTTCTAGTTGTCATTGTAGGAGATATGTCTTTTGAGCTCTGTTAGAACCTTCTGTCTATCTTTTATTACTATTGTGCGATATTGATTAGACAGAAATACTACTTAACATACAAATATGAAAAATGTTTGGTTATTTTATCGAATTAGCAGAACCTGGAAATTAGTGTCGGCTGAAAATCCTATCTTCTTTTCCTTTTAAGCAAAAAGGCTAGATTCCAGCCGTCAACGATGATATCCACTTAACGGTTTAATTACTATTACCATTATCATACTTGTATTTGTAATAGAAAGTTTCTCACTCCCCGCTGGTATTATGATCCAACAAATATGTACTATGTCAGATAAACAAATGGCGTATGGGAACCAGCTGCATTGCGATTTGCACATGTTTACTTACACGTGCCAATTATTCATCAGTTATTTAGGCACCTGTTGGCCATAAAAGAATTCCATTAATGGAAGGCATATAATTACTGGCATTTTTCTAAGTCAACTAATTCACTTCTGTAAATTCTATTTTTCCTTCGCTATTTCCTCGACAGCAGAAACACATCAATGAGCTGAGGTCATGGCAACGATTGCTACGATGATGGGTTGATCCAATTCCCGCCAGGATCTTCAAAAACGTAATAAGCGGAAGATCTTTCTTTTAATGCGCTAATCGACGTTGAACGGTTGTACTTTATTACAGTTCAGTGCTAATCGTTCCCACAGAAACAGTACGTATGACACACAAACTGGCTCTACAATACACAGCTGTCCAAGAGAAGATATAGTTTGAACTGGAACGTTTAAGCGTCGACTACAGAACATGTTGAACATTGTGGAACCACCAATCCTTATGAGGATTAATTGGCACCCTAAAATAACACATCACAGAGCAACACTACTTGACCTAACCCCGCTTAACATAAAGGTGCACCTGATCAGTTAAGGAAAAATTGCAAACACTGCCGCAGTTGCCGAAGCAGACGGGTAACATCCATAACACGCATGGGTACTTCACAATGCTGTCAGTTTTTTCTCTCTGAAAAGGGACCGCTGGGAAACGGCAGAGGAACCTCTCGACGGAGGGGCCAACCGAAGCCCAGAAGGCGCCACCGCAGAGCAACAATTGGCATTAGAACCTCCATGTACATCCGACGATGGAGCCACTGGCGTCAGTCGCAAGGAACCACACCAACCATTTAAGGAATCCTAAACAGGCAGCAAGGGGCTAAAAAGGCTAGCCCTTTCCCCACTAGGAAATAGATAATCCCTGATACTTCCCAAGCGCTCATTGAGGGAGCCACTAGCACAAATTGGGAATGGGTTTAGAGAGAGGAATGGAAAGGACAAGCTCGTTGAAAAAAATAAAAGGGAAAGTGTATTTTTATAGGACTTTTTACTCTGGCATAGAAGGATATAGAAAAAGACGAAGGCTCAGTGATCCATTGTTCGAAGAAGCCCTGTTTGACCGGAACCGAATGCTTACGTAAAAAACCACTAAGTTAGCCTACGAGGCAAACCTAATAACGTCTTTTATGAAATTATCTCCAGTCTACATAAGCAAGGCAGGCCGTAAATAGTTAGTACACGTAAATCTTCTAAATCAACCTGGTATTGAAGATACACGACTACCGTTATGGAAATTTGACGCCAGTATCATATTAGACATACTTCTTTTAATTACCAAGATATTCACATATTAAGTTAAACCAAATCCAAGACCAAAATTACAACGCTTACATAAACTAAAGTGATAAGTTGCCGAAAGCCGCAGGAATGAGCAGATACCAAAAGGACGCTTCTATCATTTGACAATGAAAATTACACATCTGATAATCTTCCAAACAGTTTTATCTATCTTTATTTTAATGAATACTCAGAAAACTGAGCTTGATCTTTTGCATTCTAGACTGCGTGACAACAGAAGTACAACCCAGATTGACCATGACGCACGCAAAATCTAAGCATCACGTTCACACTATTTCATCCACAACTCACCATTTTCTAAACAAGCAAAAAACTTACTTAGCAATTTGCCAAACCTTAACAAATTATGTTTCAACACTTATGCATTGTAAACCCACAACTCTGCTATGCGGAATATCTTAGAAACCCGTAATAAAAAAAAATCAAACGGAATCAAAGGAAATTTCCGACCGGCAGCTGTTTTTTGTAAGTGTATCTAAGCAGGATAATAAATTCTATAAAATTTTGACGGTAATTCATGCGATAAAATTGTCACTAACCATCACTTTTCGTTCATTTCATCTAAGATTTCTCTCATTTTAGTTTAATTGATAACTCTACTAATACTGAATGCAACCAAAGGCATCATGCAGCTTTATACGGTTGTCTTTGCCTTTTTATTCAAGGATTCGTTTGTTTTTTGCTTTATACAACACAAAGCACCCTTATTCAAACAGAGATGATACAAAGAAGGTGGTGGAACATTAATATGGCATACATAGAATATCCTTGATAGAAGTTTTATAAAAAATATTTATAGGAAGGTCCTGCTGACCGAAACACTTGGAGGGCAAGACGCTGGACATTTGTTGAAATCTTTCAAAGGTACCATTTTTATTTAGGCAGGTTTTATGTATGTGTATGGCAAGCTTGGCATCGAGATATAAATTCTAAGCTGCTTACTCAACAACTTATCTTGCAGCAACCCATAATATATAAGTATTACTAAGATGTGAACTTCACCTATTATCACATCCTGGACTGCCAGGATTTCATTACTTTGGACTTATATTAAAATAAGGTGTATAAAGTTGCGTAACAAATAATTCTTGCCACACACCTATGGAACAAGTTCCTAATTCAATGAACAAAAATACTAACGTGGGTTTTTAAGATTATATTGTTCCCTAAATAAACGGAATTTGTTTTTTAGTTAATTAAAAAATGTGTTTCATTGTTAGGGGGCGCAGTTAAAGTGCTATCACGCATGTGTGCGGCGTCCTCTCAGACTGACCTGACTATGGTAAATTTCTCTACATCAAGGATATATATTCTGCAGTTTCTTTCCCATTCGTGAACTTTCTTATAACCCTCCTATGCTCAACTTAATTAATACTACTAAATGTCCACACTGAAAGCATACGCAAATCTGGTATTAGGTTTCTGGTCCAACTTCCCTTGGCTGCCCTTTTAAGTACCAAATCTCCCGCGAGGTACCAATAGTGGCCTTGCTGGCCATAATCAAGTTCATATCAGTGTCCATGAAAAGCGAGCTCATTTTTTCCGCTAGAAAATCTAAGCGCACTATTTTAACTAGGATCAGCGACGCTTTGATCGAGACCAGTCAGTCAATCTGGATTATATGCGTAGTTCGTATAGTACTGCTTCTTCCACAACCGAGGCTGAGTCTGCAGTTGCCATTTGACATCCTCGGCAGAAGTAGAATCACATTCAAAGTGTTTCACTGGGTTCTTGACGAAACGTATTTTACATGTGCAAATTTCAATGACGCGGCGTTAAGAACGACCCCGAGATACTTTGCTTCTTTTGCGATTTCTGTCAGGTGGTCCGCTGCTACAGAGTTATTTGTCCACTCACAGCCTATGAGGTACAGGGGCTCTTCTCTTTTCAGGCTTTAATGGCCGCATCCTGTAGGATTTTTTCCGTTCTGCCCATGATTATGAACGCAAGATTATCGGCGTAAGCTAGCATTTCAAACACTTCTTAAGGTTTTTGTAGTTCTAGCACTACCGTCAAGAGCCAGATTTCAGAGAAAAAGTTCAAAAATCAAATCCTAGGAAACACTGGCAGTAACCTTGCCTACTTCTCCCCCCCCGCAACTATCTTCCGATATTTCAAGTATAATGAAATCAGCGGGTAGAGATACGGTAAGACAAGTTTGCTTCTGGGTGTGTTTATATTAACCCTTCATTTCAAACTATTAAACCATTTTTAACATCGACTAGATTTAGGAGGACAAGTTCTCTAGCTTTAAGCGATTTAGCCTTCCACTCCCGGCTAATTCCAGAACCTTCCTGAGTGCTTCCAGCGAAGACTTTCCGTCTTAAATCCGTATCATATACCTCTGAGTAAACCTTTTTTGTATGTTCTATATGCTAGTCTAGTCTATAACCTGCATACCAAAATATTTTTCAAAATCTTCAAAAAGTTGTCTAGTAAACATAAAAGTCTGAAAACTGAGGATGTAACCGCCATTTCGGATCTGGGGATGAGATCCAGGCTTGTTCTCGTCCGTATCGTCAGAAAGCATGTCTCCTTGAAAAGTCCGTTTACCAATTCACGAAAGAGAATAGGCCTTTTACGCACGAGTAGTCTAGCCGACTCGTATCTTATCCGGTAGGAGTGAAAGCCGTAATCTAGCTCCCTTATTTTTCGCGATGTAACTTCTGCACTATCCCCGTTTCTACTTAGTGTTCTTCCCCTCCCTTTGCCTGGTTGAAACGGTGATAGAACCAAAACTGTCTCCTTAAACACACCTTAATAAGAGTATGTTTTCTTGTTTGTTTACAGTTCTCCGTTATTTTCTAAGTGCCCTTAATGGACGAGAAGAGTCCTCGTCTCCCCAGCTTGCTCTTTAGCCATGCCATCCCTGTGCTTACTTCTTCTCTCATCTTTTCTTCCCATATAGAATAAATTGACGATGTCAGCGAAGATTGCTAGCAAATGCTCTGTCAGGCTACGGCGTTATGTTAATAATAGCTCTACGTTGCGAGTTTTACGTGTAGTATTCCATCAAACGGTTGGCTTCCAAGCGGAAATGAAGTCAGTTCGAACCTAATCCACAACGTGTCCTTAAACCCAAAAAACAAATACATTACCCACTAAGGTATCATGGGGATGTTATTACCAGTCTTTTCGGCCACGTAGTGACATGCCAAGCCCAACAAAAAAATATATATCAGTGTATTAATTAGTTCGTGTCACTAATTTAATTCATCGTCAGAGTTTTCGATACATCTTGCATTTGAGTATTTGTTTGCAGTTATTTTTGACTCCAGAATTTGTATACCGTTTGATTACTTCCGAACTGTTAACGAGCCAGCTAAATTCAAATAAATTTATTATTTTTCGACTATATTAGCCATGTACTATTAAATATACATTTTAAATAATAATAGCAAAACTGTTTTATGTACCGTCGTATATTTATGTTTTGGAAAATATAAAAGTAGCAAGGGTATCAAATAGCATCCGAAATATAAATTGCATGCCTAAATATAAACAACATAATATCTAGGACGTTACCATACATTTGAAGTGTGAGTTGACTCCAATCTCATCAAATCGTATTCAAAAGAACAGTTTTTCGCTAATTTCAAACTATCTTTTGCTCAAAGTCATTCAAACTATGGCAGCATATAGAATAAAACCTTGACTTACATATTTTTTTTAATGATTTCAATATAATTATTTCCTTAATCTGTACATACTTTTCATGATAATTCTTCATAGAAGTGAATACTATCATATAGAGTTTAACATTATAATAAGTTTATTATCATTATCATCACCGTTATATACAAAACCAAAGCTATTACCCTTGTATCTGTTTATAGGCGTTTGTGTATATCTGTCTGTGTATTTAAATTTGTTTCAGTCGTCGCCCTGTTGTCCCATTATTTTGTCAGCATTAGCTTTGCAATATCAGCTCGTAATCATTATCTGGTTTACATCGCCATGCTCTACTACGATATATAATCACCACTAACAGCATCCTTTATTTACTATCAATACACTTCGGCCGCAAGAGCCTACTAATATTTTCATTAAAAGCGATGTATAATAAAAACACACATTTTCCAATTTACTCTTGACCAGATTCGATAACAAGCTCGAAATATTATTAGTTTCGCCAATATTATCGCCAAATAATAATAAAATATGAATTATGCCAACGGATCTTCTTTATCTGCCTTATCTTTAGCGACTTAAATAGCGAAAACTCTATTGAGAGAGATTAGTAATGATTATTATAATGAAATGGCTGTTTTTCACCTTATTGTCATGATCCCATGGTGAATCTATAATTAGCATGTGCAGGTCTATGACTTTTGTCACGACCGCACCATCAGTATGATTCTATGATAAGAATTTTATTATTTTCTCAATTTCCAATCTTGTGTATCGTCACTGCGTCCATAGCATCCCTATATTATGCTGCCGCTAATTGATAATTACATATACTTTCATGTTATATAATCACCATAATTAACATCGATTTTTAATGACTGAACAGAGTTAGATTTAGATTTGCATTATACGTTTGACAAGACTAATTATCTTTTTCCTTATTTTCTTCTCCCTTCAAACTTTTACTATCTTCTTGATAGATATCGTCACGGTTCTGCCAGCAGTAATAGTTCGCTTTTATTAGCATCGTGGAAGTATTCTTACGAATCAAATAAGAAGTACTGACTACGCTTATATTTCGCAGAAATTCTAATCCGACACCATATGCAATAAAAACCAGTTTTCCTGTGTTTGCCCAGATTCACTTGACCGTCGTTAAATTTCGATTTAGAATTTAGCTTATTCGACTCGTGATGACAGACGATAAAAAAATTCTTCTCAACTTGTAAAGTAAAACGGGCGACTGTGCATACAGGAAATATTCTTTCCGTGTCTCTAGTCCGCTACGATGGCGTAAGAAGTTAAATATGAAACACTGCGAGGTACAAGTTGAAGGTTTGTGAAGGAAGGGTTGTCGTGTACATTTCTTCTCTTCCATTACTGAACCCTTTCATTCTTCATAATACCTATACAAACAACTATCCGTGTATTCATTCAAGAATCAATTCATTCACCGTGTTCCATCAGTTTCTGCAGTTCTTCTCATTTTACATTGCATCATTTCATTATTACACATTCTATCGTTGTGTGACCATCATATAATAAATAGCTTTTTCTATTTCCCTTATTCAATGTTACTCTCGTTTTCGTTTTTTGAACAATTTTCATCAAGCAGTTTGTAGACGAATACAATGCACAGACCTCATGCCATTTATTACACTCGATCTCCGTTTCTGTAGTATAATAGGAATAATTAATAATAATACCTGCATTCGTATATACCTATGATCATTGCACTATTCGGTAACCCTTCATTCTTCATTTTAGCTCTAATTACTATATCATATCTTGAACATAAGTCTAACTTCGTTATCGTTAATAGTGTCCTTTAAGTCATTAACCATCACATGATTTATCGAATTTTACTAGTTTACTATTTTACTGCTAAATTTGCTCTAGCTCTCCTGCATTCTGTGTCTGATAAATATCTTTGTGACGATTCTCTAATTCTGTAGCATGTTTATCTACATCGAATGAGATACATTGCAGTACATACTTCTGTCTGATGCTTCCACTAGTCCTAAATGACTACTGAAGCTCTCAACACACTGCTATAGATCGAAGTCGAAAACGCTAGCTTTCCCGTTTGACTCTCGACTGTTTATATTATATCTGTTTTAATTTTCTCCTTTTCGTATAGTCGCTGGATTTAGTAGGAAAAACGGTAAACAATAGAAATACGTATACATTTAAGAATAGTACAAAAGGGGTACTAATAAGCTTTTCTACTATTTTGTACTTGTACAAAAAAAAAATAAAGTCAGTGATATTATAGGCATTGATGTAATCTACGTAAGTACATATCAAAACTGCAGTTACCCATTATTAATAAGTGGTTGTAGAGTTGGTCAGAAATGTCCTGCAATCAGACCAGATATATATTCTTGCGCATCCTTTTGTGAAACATTCTGCGGTTTTATTCCATACTTAATTTATGGATCAAGGACCTGCCATATTTAAGATAGTTCGAAAGTAATACCCGCGCTGAAACAAAAGGGTATGTATATTTTAGATGGTAGTGAAGTGTAGTAGTTTTAGAAGTGTTTGAATGAACGGTACGTTGTCGTAGCACTTGCGGTTATGACAAGTCGGTTAAGCTGAACCGCGATGCCGCTAACCGTTTCGATAATTAAATGACATGAACAAGCAATAAATACCAAGTGTAATTACCCGGTTTTTTCTTGTTTAAAGTAGAAGATAAAACGTACGTTTGTAATGGTCTCATACAGTTATACTTAACGTCAAATGCCAAAGCTAAGTTGTATTAACGTATTCGACGAAAAGATTGAGGGTCTTTACAGTAGCTTACTAACGAAGTTTTCCGCGTATTCACAGATCACAGTACTACATAAGCTCGATGATATTTTTTAAATTTTACTATACTCCAGTGCCGAAGCGCATAGTTTCTCATGTCGGCGTTAAGGAATGCGTGAATCTGCGAGTATAGTTGTACCAGATGGTCTTGTTTACTACTGTGATGGTACGTTGTTGCAAATCGTCAATAGAACCGTAAAAAAATAGAGAACAATTATTAAGGAAAATTTTTGGATAATTTTTAAGGATAATTATGGCAGCAAGTCTTGGTATTATTTACTGTTACGGGGCATTTTCAAGATATTCAGAGTCCAAAAGTAACTTTACGTGTTACTTCTCTACGAAAAACACTTCAATAGATAAAAAAAAAAAGAGTATTCAACATTTGCGAGAAAAAAAACTTATAAAACGAACTGGCACAACACTATGAAGTCAGGTAAGTATATTTCTCTGTAAATAGACCTTAACTTTCTTTAACAATATCGCGAATTCTTAAGAAATTATATTAGACAGTTCCACTCGATGTCCTTTAGAGTAGCATTGCAATTCACTCAATAATTACTCGAGTGTTACTACCTGCGGTATATTGAGTACAACTCTCTACATTACATAAAACTAGACAACACTTCGGATGTTATTAAAAATGTCTAATACATTTTTATGGTTCTCGCTAACATGCAGAGTAGATATTCATTCCAAGGTAATTTATGTCCTAGTAGTATCTAATTTACAAGCGTGACGACTATACGTTTGGTTCTCTTACATCTTGCTTATTCTAAGATTACAATGGCTTTTCACATTTAATTAGAACTATACTGAAACCAAGGTCGATTGATTATTTTTCTTAAACAGTATCCATGATACCGACATCTTGTACTTCTCCCACGTAGAACTAACATGCTTTATTCGCCAATATTCAATCGTTATTTCTATATATTATAGCAGTTAGTGTTGCTTTGTATTTATGCATTTGCAATTGAGGATGGAATGTCCTTTCCATTTTTGAGTTAAGCTCTTAAGTCAACCGGTTCTCTTGTCTCTCAGCTATTCTTTCTCGAATGGCTGTAATTTGTCAAGAAAATCTTCCTATTCATATGTAATATCCCTCTCCAGACGGCCCCAGAGTTTCTCTAAATGATCGTAACAAATCCCTTTGACCGGTTGTTTTGACTTTTGAGACCTTGATCACGGTTTGACAGCCTTTTCCCTAGTTTCAGGTAAAAAAAACCTTGTTGAACAGGTTGTCGTTCGGTCTCGTTTTTAATGCGAACTCAGTTGGCCAAGGTTCGGTGGCTTTTTCGAAAGCTTCCAAATTTCTTAAATAAGTTTTTCGTTAAGGCCGAGTGGAGAAAGTTTTTCTATTGAGATTTCATTGAAGTCAGCTTTCGTTGTCTTGTTCTGTAACATAACATAAACGGAAGCCACACGCTAATGTTAGACCTAAAACGATTCTAAAGAGAGATTAAGAGAACATCGACTCCAGTGAAACTCCATTAAAAAACCCCAAAAGCTACTATTCTATTACCACAGTATGCAGTGTAACGTAATTTAGTCGTTATTGAGTAAGATCAGACATATTAGGACAGTTGTATATTATGACTAATAAAATGTTAACAAAGTGTAAACCTGGATTCTTGTCGATAGGACGTGTACTCGAACCACATCACGTTAGGAATCAGCGTCGTATCTCGCAGCAGCAGCAACTCACTGATTCGCCTGACGAATTTTACGATATACAATAAACCCTGTTAAGTAAGTACTATTCACCTATATAACGCTAGCCGTAAATAGTATCAGAACGACATTTCCTTCTCCCTTTCATAACGACTTAGAAGACGTGGAGCTAAATCTATATAAATAAACCTCTTTATCCACACGTATTGAAAAGAGGCGAAAGGAAATAATTGAAGCTGCATAAGCTCAAAATTATCTCTTGCTACTAAAATATTTTCAAACTCGTGGTGCTTTCTTTACAGTTTCTGATTTATTATTCAATGGAGATAGCAGCCCAGATAAAATAAGCTCTGAGCTTTATGGAGTTCACTCTATTGCTAACAATATTTGTTCTATTAATAAATTTGTCAGCAAGTGACCATGATTATAAGATACAGTAATTGTTTAAAAGAGTATGGACTGGCTGAACTTCGCGGTAGAGCATTTGGGCTTTTTCCGCTCATTTTGTATCAATTGTCTTTGTCTGTGTCTTTGTAATTCACTGAATAGATTCCAGTTCATTTCGACGACATTTTATCTTTAACCGTAAAGAAAGTGGAAAAAGCAGACCTTATGCATTTTGCAGAAGACGAATAGGAACGGACTTACTAATTTATTTTAAGTTTAGTTTTCCAAACTAAACTAAGCGTCAATAAATTAATTCACGCGGGTATTACAAACCGCAGACAAAACGAAAGATAAAACTAGTTTTACAGCGGTCTAGTTAGTTTTAAAGCATTGTAATAAAGAATTTTAGTTACGAAGGCTTCCAACAGCGCTAAAGAACGAAAATATGGGAGCAAACGAGACGGCATGCAGGCAAATACTACGTTATTGAGGGTTTTTAGAAGTAGAGTCAGAACTCGCACAGAGCATCTGATGGGTTGTTCACTACCCCAATACGCTTATTTACATTTGGTTATTTACATTTTCGATAATACTGACTTGTGTGCAACTTTTCCAGTACCCTACATATTTAATTGACCTGACCTCCAACACTGTCTTTCGCCCCAGATTTAAATAGAACATATTTTGCTTCGATATTCTGTCTTAAACGAACAATAGTGACGCTTTAAATAGACTAATATTGCAAAAGTTGCATTGCGAAAACGACATGAATATACTGACCAAAACTTTTTCTTTTTCAGCCATATTTGATTTCAGTTCAAACTTAAACTCTAAGCCGACGGACTATGTACTTATTAAAATACATATAATTGAATAACCACGCGAGAAAGAAAAGTAATACCATGAGCAGATATAGGGGAATAGTGGTGTGAAAACGCAGTGCGTTAATGCGAACCAGGCGCACGCGGCCAAAGCTCCCAATGCTCCTCCAGCCATCACCTGGGCTAACGTGTGGTACTCAAGATAGACGCGCGATGCCGCAACAGCTCCTGCCCAAAAAAAACCTCCAGCGATCAATAGATGCCGCCAAACACCTTCCCACACGGAGTTATTATTGGAACCATGATGCAGCCTGAAATCGTCAAATAGGAATTTTGCAAACAGTGAAATCAAATACCGAAAAAAGAAACCACTCATATGATTAAACGTATATAATGCAATATAACCACAAAGATAAGTATTTACTATTTCGAAGTTATTTAGAAGGCTTAGAAACGTTGATAACATTTGAACTACTTACCATTAGTAGACAATATTTAGTCAACATTTAAGGCTAATGACGAGTATAAGCCGATCATGAGTATAAGTGAGTATTGTCATAGTATCATATGTTTAGCGACAAATGCATCATTTAATGCTAAAAATCAAATCTTGATAACTTTCTGTTAAGTTTCTGTTCTGTGAAAATAAAAGCGTTGGAAGAGTCTGCCGAAGATTGGTGAAAACATTGGGAAGGAAGATTCTCAGCGAAACAATAGTTTGTCATTACTGCAACCTTTTTAAGACCGAAAATTGAGAGATCGAAAAAATCACAGTGGTAATAACTGTATACACTGTAGCTGAAGTGCAAATGCAATACAATAGTTCAGGATAGAAACGCAGGTGGTGCACTTTAAACACAACTTGCGCAACAATCATCTGCAAAAAACCTGCCTGAAGTACATCGTCACTATAAAAAAAGATAGACGCCGGTCTGTATCCCCTACCACAAAAGATTAGAGCGTGAGAATGATATCGAACGGGAAAGAAAACAACTTCGATGGCAATGCCAAATGGATTCGGGTATAATCTGGTGCTCACACTTGCCGCAGCCATCAGGTGCTTTAATTACTACAAGATACAGGCCGAAAAAGAAAAGGGTCAATGTAGCTAGATATCGCGAATTCCTGAAGAATCTCATGAATGAAAGGCACAACAATCGACGGTGAAATTACTCAATGACAACGCACAACCCTTCAATCGAATCGAGCATGACAGAACCAAGTGGCAGCTTCAGCTTTAACCATTTTCAAAATGCAATCTGTTTGATTTCAATTGCTTACGTGTCTCTAAAACGATAGGTGATGTAACGGATCTTTTAACTTTATAACTAGGTAAGATATGGTGTACGAAAATCGCAAGTTCACAACCGCTGAAAAATTGCCAAAGCACTGTCTTCAATGTGTAGAAAATGAAATGGAATACACACAACATTTTCTAAAACATCATTGTTGTACTTTATGTCGTTCTAAAGCCACTCAAGTTTTTGGACTAGTAGTTTCAGACAACCTTATTTAAAACACATTTAATATGATATTTGGCTTCTTTACACAGGAATGTTTATTGTTATTGCCGGCAGTAAGTCTTACCTGAAGGTGATAAAAAACATGAGATAGGTTGCCACAAACCACATGAACTGGGAGTGGCTTGAAGGCATCCCAAACTCCACGGTCATCTCTTCCTGTCGCTTCAAAGGTCGAGGTTCCCGAATTAAGTGCTTCAACGTGTAGTTCATTACCTCATTTAAGAGTATACCGGAAGAAAACGTTATCTGCGATGGAATTAGCCAACAAACGTAAAGAAAACATTAAAATATGAAACGTGTACAATGAAAAGGCAAACAACATTTACTATCAAGCCAAACTCTAATTCAACTGGATGCTTTACACGTTTATTTTTCTTTGAGCAAGGTTCATTAATGTAAAAGACCCTTAACAATACTGTTTGATCACGCTGATCAAATGGTACAAGTCGCTTTCCACGTTCGATTTGAAGTAAATGCGTGAAGCAATTATGAATACAAGAAAACAGTACAATAAAGTCGCATTAAATGAATTGGACTGCACTTTGGTCACAATCGAAAAAAGACTGTAGTTAAAGGGCTGCTCGTTAAATAATAAATGCTCATAAAATTATTTAATGTTAATTACGCCAAACATTATAATAGGCACTGATACGAAAGCCACAGTTTTTCGCTTACAACAGTTCGTTGTCCAACAAACTCTGTCGAGCCGCATTTGCGGTAAAAGGAAATGCAATTAACATAAGCAGGCTTCTACTTTATTATTTTTTAACGTTTTAAATGACTGCCTTTTCATCTATATTGTGTTTTAACACAGAACACAGTACTAATCTTTTTCCATACTTATTTTGTAAGTATGGAAAAAGATATAAGCATTTTTTTGCATAATGCTATCGGGTGACTTTGACATTGTTATCTGCCTGTTGTGTGATTCAACATACAGCAAAATGTAAATTTCCTCAGTGAAAAAGGAAATGACATTTTATAAATCACAAAGCTCTCGTAATGAAGAGAATCTTTCTAAATCTGTTTTGTCATTTGTTCATTAGTTAGCAAATCTTACCGTGTGCAAATCTCTGCGAAAAAGGATGAGCGTGAGCATGCAAACGGCAATCCCCAATGGGGACAGTGAGATGAACGCCAATAGCTTCCCAAGACTATCACCTTCAATAGAATAAGAATTAATACTTTCAATTAGACTTCAGACAATCAAAGGAAAGGTTACAATGCACTAAGGGCTAGTAAATTCTGACAGCTATGTCCTCATTTTGCACTATACACATCAAATGTTATATAAAGGTGCACATCTTATTATCCTCTTACTAACCAAGTAGTAAGCCTTTCTTGATATTCCTTTGTAAATTTAGTAGCATATATCAGCTGAAAACAAGTCGAAAAAAGAATATATGTACGTATATATGTTACGGTCAAACCTAAAAATAAAGAAACAGTTTCTAGCTCGGATGGTGGAAGCTTTAGCCGTTAGTCTCAGATAAGCGGCCAGTTGAATCGCGGTAAGAAGCAAGCCGGTTATAAGTCAGAGCGCCGCAAGAGGCAAGATCCCGGAGCAGCTATTAGTATCGGTAGTGGCGTATGCTGGTTGCTAGTCTACATGGTCGTCGGTATTGAAGTAAAATATATACACATGCAACTTATTTCCCAATGCAATTGAGCAACTACAATTACTGTTTATGCAGAAGATGGTTCTATAATGCGAATACTCAATCACACTGCATGATGTTCATAGAGAATGATTTCGTACTGTTTATTCAGAGAACTATAACCATCGCACCTGTGCGCTGAGGGGTTAAAATAATGCGAACAAGGCAATGGAAGTCAACTGAGGCAGAAGTTCCTCGAGCAGTACCTATACGATGGCAACAAGGATGAAGGAAAACGTAACGGATTGCTGTTACCCAATATAATTTTCTGTCAAATTGCCTTTAGTCACATATTGACACATATTTTGTTGTAGAATTATAGTATAGTTAGATAAGACATGCAGCTGATCCGTAAGTCCGTAAGCAATAGAATTCCAACTAGCGGAGTAGTTTTCACAACTTGCTAACCACTTATGATTTTCGAGTAACATGTAATGTTTTATTTCGATTTATTCTACTTATTATTAATGTTGAATAACCAAATTTCGTCTATTGAGTAAAAAAAAGTGCGAATCTTGACTCCGAAAAACCGATCTTTAATAATAAAAAATATCTTTAGTAATACATATTTATTAGCCTATTTGTAGTGCCAATTTCTTTTCATTAGCTTCCAAGCCGACATTTAGTTTGCGTTTTAATATTTTGAACAATATTTAGTTTACTCTAGCTTAAGTTAGCACAAAAACGTTCAAGTGTTTGACTTTTTAGAGCCACGTCTTGAATATATTTGGAATCATTAAACGAACGTTTTTTTCACTAGAAACAATTTAGCAGACCGACTCTGACACCTAAGCAGTAAATGTAAAAAGCAAGACCATATATAGCGAACGTGAGTTGTAATTGATTAAATTGCCTGGCAAAAAGCAACCGAACTTCCAATCACTGGACTGCTTTTATCATTAGTCCGTTATAGGGGCAAGACTTAAATGTTTCGCCTTTTATGTTCGGAATTACCGTTAGCTACGATGTTAGACGGCTCAACACGAGCATTGCGTTTAATCATCGTGTCTAACATGCGTCTCACATTTATCCCTAAGGTTCAAGAGCAGACTCGTGAGCCATCATAGTGAATCAATGAACCATCACAAGGTTTCACTGCGGAATTTGTATATTGTAGTCAAGACAAGCAGTTCGTTAACATTCAGAAACTAAATGTCTTTAATTTTAAAGGTAGGTCGTATGCGTAAGTAAGTACGCGTAGGTAAGTAGCGGAACCAGCAGTCAGGATGTATAATACGTTAACTGAAGCAAGATTTTAGCTGGGAGCACGCTCAGTTAGCCCCAAGATGTTCTTGAACTTCCTTCAAAAATTTTTTGAATGATACATTTAAAATCCAAAAATCTTCTTTCTGACTACGTCAAAAAATGCAGAAGGTAGTCAGTACAATCAGTCATTAAAATATTAAGATCACGTACCTTTTTTAGTGTTTAAGGATGCATAAAACCTCAAGGCATACTTGCCACTTATGATATACGCTACTTTCAGAACAACTTTCCAGCTGGCAAGCCAACGAATTCTAAGCTGCTGCAAGTAAATTGTAATTTTTAAAAGTCACTATAAGAACTATATATCTAAATATAATTTATTAATTCCATGTCTCTCTTGGAGATAGTCAACTCAGTTAATCATTTAATTTAATCATCTTGTATTATATCATCTTGTCTTAAATCAACGACTCGCAACCGAGCATCACTTGGAAATCAGTCAAAATGGCCAGAGGCGCTTTGTCTGTTAGTTCTGCTACGTTGATCCATTTGTACATTGTTTCTTCGTATAACAAAAAAGGGTCCTTCGATAACGATAGTTCTCAAGTTGACGAAGCTTTTACCCCTCTTGATAATTTTTCACCAGTACTCTGATAAAAAGGAAGAACTGCTAGTAGATACTCAGAAAAACCAGTTCAGTAATTTTATATTTCCTTGGTTTATTTCAACCTAAGACGTTATACAAGATAAAATAGCATGGTTGAAATGTCGCCTTTATTGCATACCGCTATCATATGATCTGAATCTCACAGATCGAAAATACACAAGTGACATACAGGTTCAATGGCTTGCTCTTTATACGCCTTCGGTGACAGATTTAAAAATAGTTGTTTTTTTGTTATATTTGAACGGATTGTATTGTCATAGATTAATATTTGTAATTTCATGCACATATGAATACACTAAAAAATTTTACTACATATATGTTCGAAACATTGTGATACATTTATAAGAATCTTTCATACAAAAATAATTTATAAATGTTCGAATTCTATTAAAAATGAGTTGACAATGACGTATGCTTTTTATTTAAATGTTTCTAATTTTTTTGTTAGGCAATACATTAGATTCAAGAGTCAACCTCTTTCTAACGCAGACTAACTTTTGAAACAACTGGATTTAGCATCTTATTAGTTATTAAAATTAGTTAACAAAAACAGGTGTTCGAATGGTGAGAAATATACCAATTTGTGAGAAGAGAATGGTGTAACTTTTGGAAAATCTTTTATGTCAAACATTTTTTACGTCCGCTTGCCAATTGTATTGACTGAGCCTGTAAATAACTGAACTAAGATAGGTGAATTGCGCATTGACATATGAACATTTCATCCAAAGGTGTATTAGAGAACTTTTAATCATCAATGCATAGTGAGACTCATTCTAAATGGGTGAATTATCTTATAAATAGGTAGATCACATTTGTTACATCATGCGAATTTGTATCACTTAGGCTTACCGTTAATTCAACTATCTTCTAAAGTTTTAGGCTAATTAGAAGGACGAGCGTTTGAACAAATGTTTAGTGTTACGTGTGGCGTATTTAAATATCTTTATCATTTGATTAAATAACTTTATATGTATCAATTACGGCACGACGCTTGTAAAATAGAAGAATTAAAGCGTGGATTTGCAGGTGATAGATAGGAACATCTTACCTACCTTTAGGGTATTGGACGTGGGTAAGGCTGAACGAACTCCATTCGATAACTGACGGACTGCTAGGCAACTGCCCGGTGACCACCTCCATGATTCCTTCACTGGAGGTGCTTATCAATTTCGTCCGCCAATGACAGGCACTAACAAAAACTAAATAAGCGAATGGCCGCTGCACGAAACAATCAACGCCAGGCCCTCACTTCTTCTCTACACTAGAGCCTTGTAGCCTTTGTGGTTATTACTAGTTTATTCAATTCGAAACTGATTCTTTTTATTTTTGCTGCTATAGGCGGTCCTACCTTGATTCCGCTAACGACCTAAACAATGCACAGTTAAACCTATTACCTGATAAACAACAGTTGATTAGCTAAATCGACCTGAATCAAGCCGATGTTCTCAAATCACGCAGTTTTGGTAAAGAACAACTGTTTTACAGAAATTCTCACAGTATTTCTTTCAGGTCGCATGAAAACTCTCACAGGTAGGCACGCGCACATGCACATATATAAGAATGTAAGAGGCATGAATTAATGCCCTGCTGTTCTGTACATTTTATTACAAAAACAGACACATCATATACAGCTGATTCGTAGACGTTTTTTCTGGTGCACCGTCGAAGTTCGCTGAGACGATTGCGATAGACACTATGTCAATTGATCTTTCCTTCTATCTGTTGATCGGTAATGACTTCCTTCTTCTCGGTTCTCGAGCAATCATTTAACATAGGGAATACAATCTCGTTTTTGGTCCTAACAACAAAAATGTGATAACATGAAATGTGTCCTTTCCCTTTGACAGTAACCGCCGACCGCGAAAAAGCGGACACTGTACTGTAGCGTCGAATACCACTCTTTCAACTCACTGTTCAAAATTTCACTTCCTCGACCACGATCACCATGACTATTATTCGCTTGTCAGAGCCTTTTCAGAATTTAAAACTCTCTCGTCACTTGCAGAATGTTAACTACCATGTTCCTCTCCTGATGAGGTCGTTCAGTGATATTTCTATAAAATCGCGTTTGTTTTTTTTTTCGTTGAAGCTATATTACTCACGAAATCTTGTTACAACTAACGTTCATGCTGTTGTTGTTGTTTCCCGTGTTGAGGCATAGTCGTTTTATTCTAAATTGACCGCGGTCTCCTATCGGGCAATACGAATTGGCAATGGACGAGGCAGCACGGATCAGCGACAATTCGCTTACTGTAAAGAGAGACGACAACAGTATACGGGGCGATCAGCAAAGCAACAACCTATGATATCGTAAACGTCGTCTACTCCGACTCAGTCGCCTGTTCTGTCTTCTTTCAATACGGCGAACGACGATACGGCACGGACAGAGCACGTCAGAGGAGGCGCTGGCATAAATGTAGTACTCACTACCAGTAGCGGCCACTAATCAGCCGACAACATAGACTGTACAATATAGGCAGGATAACAGACTCTTGTACAATAAGAACGACGCATCGTCACTCAGCTACCTATCCCAAATACTTACTCATAACACAGACTTTCACCCTGTAGTACTCTCTCCCACCCCTGACGCGCAGCGTCGTAGCGCGATGTTTTATTTGATTTGTCGTGACTTACCTCCGTTTAATGACGCTCGGCACCGCTTCAGCTAGTACTATTATGACTATGAACCTTTACCTGAAAGCTATCTTTAGTACTTTTAAAAATACCTTTCATTTCAGTTCGGAGCGGTGATGTCGATGGCATTCACGGATGCTCGAAGTCCGATGCAATTGCAAGCGAATTTCAACTTGTCGAATGCGTGCGGTCAATGAATGGATGAATGACTGTTTACCGCCAACCGTTATTCCAATGATGTGGGCGGCTAGCTTGAAATGGGAAAGGAAAAAATAGCAGCGGCTAACGACGGCTGTATTGCTTGATAACAAGAAATTATCGCCTTTGAAACCTGTATTAGTATGTTCGAATGAGAGCTACTGAAGAATATAAATAGTTATCACTATAATATGTTTTTATGTGTTTCTAAGATCATAACATCTTTGAATTCAGTTTATTTTTTTTTGTTGTTCTCAGTTTTGTCGTGAAACCATAGGGTAGTTCAAGTTCATGTCCACCATTTTAGCACGCAAGACTTGCTACAGCTGGATAAGATTTGTGCCACATAGATAAAATCTGGCTTAAATTATCAATAGTGGGAGTCGTTTTGTTTCATCTATGAGCTAAGCCGAACCAGCTAAATAGTTAAAATTAATAATTTTATATAATTCGAATAATGATACAGCTTTATAAGAAGCTATGATAATTACTATGGGGCACACATATAATATATACTCGTTTGTAAACCTAAAAGATAGGAAAAAAATCAGCACACGGACAGACACACGTAAAGTCGTACATTTCATCTCTAAACAAGCCAGAAAGATACCTTATGCTGCTTGAAAATCAACGAAACACGGCTCGTGTATCTCTCATATACTAATTTACAAAGAAGAAATGCTTGCTCCAATATACCTTATACCAGTCGTAGTTTGAAAAGGTCGTGTTGGGAGAAAAATATTTAAATAAAAGCGGCTTATACAGCCCAGAAAGAAACAAATATATATATACATATATTTGTTTCGTTCGACAGTCCATATCTTTGTTTAATACTATTACAGACTGTCTGGAGATCTGACGTTACCAGGTCAGCAAGTCAACCGGACATCTTAATTTGTGCTTGCTTTTTTACGTTATCTGGATGTCCGCAAAATATATAAGAAATCTTTTGTCCTTTCAGCTAAAGCTCTGTAAACAGTAGCGCTTACAAGATCTTGGCGAACAGTAATATAGGCTATCGTGCGTAGGGCGTCATCCTTTTTGTTCTCAGGAAATCTAGAGAATCGTAATAAAAACAATAAGTTACATACAATTTACTACTTGATATACAACCCAACAGAAAAAGTGCGCTTTTTATGTACCGAAAACGGTAACGAAATGGCTATGGATATTGTTACTACAAACAGTATAATAGACTCAGAAACGCAAATCGCATATAGTAGTAGTAGTAGTAGTAGTAGGTGATTTGATACATAGCAACGTTAAACAGAACACCACTGCGAAATACCAGTAGTACTTCGTATTATCAGAACCGTAAACGCTTTGCAGCCGTAGCACTAACAGAAACGATCCCCAAGGTCCTCAAGGTTGAAGAATGATGAAAGGCTTATTCGTTATATAAATGAATTGGGAGATGTAACCGTCACTGCCTGGAAAGCAAAGTGAAAAATGATACTGTATAAGAAATCGAGAGCCGCCGATAGGTATGTTATCCCAATAACAAACGGACTGACACTCTCGGAGGAAGATTGACCTACTACACGACATAAGAACTTCTATAGATACTTGCACTGTATACCTAAGGCCCGTTCGTCGACATCCGTACACAGTAGCAGCGATATCAAAGACACCAGTTGTCTTGCGCTGGAACTGGCGATGGGCTAGACTGCTGAACGGAAGTCCACGCAAGCAGAGGGCACCAATTTCCGCCACCTCGTTCGGTGCATTTGTGAGAGGGCTGAAAAATAGGATCAAGGATAACAGTTAGTCTGTATCGGCTAAGAAGGAAGCAGTAGAGAAGGGAAGAGATGAGCAACTGACAAACTAAACAGAGGAAACGGGAAATGCAATTAGCAAAGAAGGGATGGGATCTGATGAGCATTTAGCTTAAGACACGCGGGATATTCCTACGCAGTCAGTTATGTTGGAATAGCGGGAAATTAGAATCCGCATGGGACTAGCGCGGCTGGCAAGCCTTACTTAAATCTTACAGAGACCCGACGAATGCATGTACAAATCTACTAGTTATTTCCATAAGCAGCGGTTTGAAATTATATTCGAATCGATTACATTAAGTATACGCGTTTCTGGTTTGGTAAGCGACGGTCACAACAATGATAAACAAAGATCACCAATCCCTTAACTTTCTAAGTTAACCATAAGTCACAATGTATGCTCCAGTTTCTCTTGCAACAAATCACACATCCTGCTGTCAGAAACTCGTGCTTTGATAATGAATAATGTATAAAAAAAAAGAAAAAAAAAAGGATTATGTGCCTGTGTATGCCTATCAGCACGAATGGAGACAAAAATTAGAACTAGAAAAATGTTCAATGAGCACAGCTGAAATTATAGCTCCAATCCAATTAAAATCCAATCAGTAAGTCTATTCACACACATTGTTTGGAGTACGCCATACTATCTTCAGTTAAATACGAACATCTTTTAAATTAAAACAGATTATTTTGCAGAAATGCTGAGGAAAAAATGTTAGCATGAAGGTCAATCGGTTTGTGTTTTTACAGCATTAAGCGAAGTTGTTTTTTTAGGAGCCAGTTTAAAGTGAGATATTAATTGCCTTAGATCGATCAATGCTGTATGCTTTCTATTTCTCTCAACAAAATCAATAGGTTAAAAGACAAAGTCCCGCAAAAAAGTAGCTAACTCTTACATCACACTATACAAATGATAAGCTTCAGCAGTACGGATAACCTTTATCTGTCACTAATATTCAGTCTCCTCCATGGTTACTGAGTGTTTTCGTTGTTAGGTCATAGATATAAAGAACAAATGATATAATAATTGAGGTACTTTTTTTTGTTTATCTTTAAAAACAACTAGGGTGCAAAAGGTGTTACTGTATGATCAAAATTTGAGACGTCACAAATAAAGTGTTTATATATGTTATTCTTGGAACATTAGCTAGATGTAGTTGCAGATATCGATCGACCCATGTCCTCAAAACAGATCAAGATTAATGAGTGCTGGGGCTTTGTTCGGAGATAAACCTTCTGAACATCTATTGTTCGATTGTTTAACAGAATATCCAACAATGTTACTTATGCACTCTGCTCAAAGCACAAAGCAAGAACCTACGTTACTCTTTAGTCCTTTATTTTATCCTAAGCGTATAAATGTGCGACAAGTATCACATGTCAAAAAGGATTAGACATTAAGTTGGTCTGTTAATAATACATAAGTTTAAGCTGCGTTTTTTTTTATTATGAAAGGTGAATTTCTTTGAAGAATTAAGCGGTACTCTTTTTAGGTATAATTACACTTTTACAAGGACATGACCTCTTACCATAAGAGCCGCGATTCTGTAAATGTTTCGGAACATCTTATCCTTATCTTAACCGTTATAAGTATCTTAACCGCGTTAAAGCTGAAGTTCGATAGCGAACTAAATACACTTCAGAACAGCTTGACCAGCCAGGATTGTAACTTTATCGTTAACACAAAACGTCTGTCCACTGTACACATCTATTGCATTAATTTGAGCGAGAAATCAGAAAACGTCCGTCCAGACCACCATCGAATATTTTGACATGTTTTTATGTGTGATTCTTATCACAGTATAACTGCAAGTGACGGGAAGATTATTTAACTCTGCCTAACGTCAGTATAACAAGGAGGCAACATTGCATCCTTTTTCTTTTTGCAGCTAATATACCTACAAATATCTATTGTATACATCAAGCATCAAAAGAAGATACTTTGGGCCACCGGTTCTTTAAGCTTCCTTGAAATGAGTCACTAGAGTGTAGTGCGCTAGCTTCTTTGAGATGGAATGTCCTATATCACTCGCCCGTAGAAAAACCATTAGGCTATTTTGCGGTGTTACTTGGGTACTTAAACCGACCATTAAAGTTAAAAGAGAACGTTTAACGTGTCTCTAAGTTAAGTAGGCAAATACGTCACCTCGTGCGTTATCATGGAGACGGGCAATAAGCAATGCTTGACAGCAAATAGCGGACGTTGAACTTGAAACAATCATGTGAAAAAAGTTTTGTTTGCGCATTTTTTTGCCGCGCAAGTAGTATACATCGTGCACTACGCGTTCATAAGGCTGACTCAAATCTTAAATTAAAATTGAGCTATAGCATGTTGAGCGAAGCCAGCCATAAGTCCAAACTGAAATTTCTATCTCCTATGTATATATATACCCATAGTCTAATGTACGTAATGACTGTCCAGTATTCAAGACCTGAAACACAACGGTAAAATGATTTTACTACAATAGGTTTTTTGAGCCTATTCGCGAAGCATACGATAGCATACTGTGTTTCCTTCACCGACTTCGATTCGTCGTTGTTTTGGTAAAACATGTATACGACGTTCATGCGTAGTGTAGATTCCGACGACTAGGCTTAAATCAACGATTTTGGCTATTCCAGTTGGATGCTTTACCGGGTAAGCAACCGAGTCGAAGTGTGTAAAATTACCATATTTTACATATTTGAAACAAATATTTTATTTATATTTCTGTCACTCACATGTAAATGCTAAAATATGGGTTCAGAAATTATAAATTCATTAAAAGTTGTAGATGACGTAAGACAGTGAAGTTTCAGCAGTCATGCTCATGGAAAGTGATCATAAAGTAGTCCCACAGCGCGTATTAACAGGAGTCATCTCGTTAATGTCTACTATAAACAAACGGACAATGATGACGCCCACGCATGAGATATGTCATTTTTCTATTCTTTCGTTTTTTTTTCTTTTTATGCCAGTCATCAGAGCACCAACGGGGATGAATGTAGTGTCTTGGAG